CAAGGACTCTCTAGTGTGCCAAGGCTCCAAGTATGTTTCCACCAACTCGTCCGGACTCATCTTGCTCACGCGCAGCTGGTTCTGCTCCATGTTGTCGCTGTACTTCGGCTCCTCCTCCAGCTGCTCCAGCTCCTTCGGCTTAGCTTTGGCCTTGGCCTTGGTATTGGTATTCAAGGGCGAGGACGCGGCCGATGCACTGCCATGGCGGCCATGAGGTGTCAATGTGGACTTCGGGTCAGGCTTGTCCTGCAGTATTCTTACAGGAATCATTCGCAAACGCACTGACTTTCCAGACTACGGGGAACTAACAAACAACAACACGCTTGCTCCTTGCTCGAGCCGGCCGCCGCTGCCGCTGCCTGACGAGCCCAAGGGAAAGAGATATCTGGGAAAGGCGGAAGTCAAGAGCTCCAGCCTTCTTCTCCTTCTTTTTCTTGTTTTTCGCCTCCTTCCTCTTCTGCTGCTTGGCAGGGTTGCAGTTCTTGTGCGATCTCTTGTTGTCTGCACAGCCACCCTGAGCCTGAGTAGTAAGGCAAGGTTTGCCGGTCTGACCACAACAGATCAATACACTACATTCAGACAGCCAAGTTCAGCCGGGGCACTCTGAGATCCTTGGGGTCTGGCGGCATCGATGGAAATGGCTCGAGAGCGGCACAGCCAAAACCAGAGTGGTGAAGGCCCTCCGCTAGGGCATCTGGGTGATTGAGCCGGTGTCGCAGCACGAAATCTTGAAGGAGCAGCTTCTATGGACCACTTCCATGTTGCAATTGCAGAGGACATGGGCACATCGAGTCACAAGCAGGCATGGCATGCACGAGGCCTCAGCGACCGTGGCGAGCGCTGGCTTTCTGGATCACGGAGGTCGCCGCCTGGATAGTGACTGCAGCTAGCTTATGCAACACTCAAGGTAGGAGAAGCCGGTCACGGGTGACATTGCAACTGTCGGAGTCTCGGATAGATTTTTTGGGGTTCTGAAATGACTGTCACAGTCTGGGCTGAGGCTAGCAGGCTAGCAGTCATTGTCATTTCGAGATGGTCGATACATAAGATATCTTTTGGATTCTAGATTATCATGATATTCCAGCGATTTTTCTTGCTAGCTGCGGAGTATGTAGGCCCTTGGGCTTTAGGGTTTAGGGTTTCCCGGTGCAAAAACCCTGCAAAAGGGTGGTTGTCGCCCAAGAAAGGACAATTTTGCCCCCTTTGAATAGGGCCGCCTTATATTTCTATTAGAAATATGGTAAAGTCCTGTTAAGGGAAAGCAAAACCGGCCGCAACAAGCCCATAAGCCTGATCGCCTGCCTTTGTCGTGGAGCTCGCCCATCTCTCTGGTCGGGCCTTGGGGAGCAGAGTACTATGGTCAGAATGCAATTGCCGGAGTCTCGGGTTGAGCGCCATCCATTTTCGGGGCTAGTCCATTCGGCAGGTGAGTTGTTACACACTCCTTAGCGGATTTCGACTTCCATGACCACCGTCCTGCTGTCAAAATGAACCAACACCCTTTGTGGTATCTGATGAGCGTGCAATTAAGCACCTTAGCCCGACGTTAGGTTCATCCCTCATCGCCAGTTCTGCTTACCAAAAACGGCCCACTTAAAGTTTTCATTTATCCCAGAAGTTCAATCAAGTAACCACTGTGGATCTTACCCATTTAAAGTTTGAGAATAGGTCGAAGACAACGCGTCCCCGATTCCTCTAATCATTCGCTTTACCTGACTGGTTCTCGCACTCGGTGCTGAGGCTCCGGGCTCCCAGCAGCTCAGCACTCCTCCCAAGTGTGAAAATGGACAGTAGGGGGTTTAGGGTTTAGGGTTTAATTTAGGGTTTAGGGTTTAGACAAACAGACAGACAGGGACAAACAAACAGAACAACAAAAAAACAGGCCATCCCCGGAAGAGCGCAGAAGCTCCGCCAGGATCGAGAGGAAGGTGGCAGCAGAGCGTGGAAGCTCCGCCACCGCCGGCCGAGCGTGAAAGCTCAGCCAGCAAGGGTACCGCCCCAGCCGAGCGCGGAAGCTCGGCCAGGACGGTGGCAGCAGAGCGTGGAAGCTCCGCCACCCCCAGCCGAGCGCAAAAGCTCAGCCAGGATACCGCCCCGGCCGAGCGCGGAAGCTCGGCCAGGACGGTGGCAGCAGAGCGTGGAAGCTCCGCCACCCCCAGCCGAGCGCAAAAGCTCAGCCAGGATACCGCCCCGCCGAGCACAGAAGCTCGGCCAGGACGGCGGCAGTAGAGCGTGGAAGCTCCGCCACCCCCGGCCGAGCGCAAAAGCTCAGCCAGGATACCGCTCCGGCCGAGCGCGGAAGCTCAGCCAGGACGGTGGCAGCAGAGCGTGGAAGCTCCGCCACCGCCGGCCGAGCGTGAAAGCTCAGCCAGGATACCGCCCCGGCCGAGCGCGGAAGCTCAGCCAGGACGGTGGCAGCAGAGCGTGGAAGCTCCGCCACCGCCGGCCGAGCGTGAAAGCTCAGCCAGCAAGGGTACCGCCCCAGCCGAGCGCGGTAGCTCAGCCAGGATGGCAGAAGAAGCCGGCCGAGCGCGAAAGCTCAGCCAGCAAAAAGAAACGGCACTGCCCGGCCGAGCGCGGTAGCTCAGCCAGGCAGCCAAGACAAAAAACCCCCTAAAACCCTGCCAACCTGCCTGCAAGCACAGCGGCTCTCGCAGGCCTGAATTTAGGGGGACCCTTTATTTATTTTTTGGTTTGGGGTCTATAAGGGTACTAGAATAGGGCGTTGAGGGTTTGGGGTTCAGGGTTTCGGGTCTAGTCACTAGTCACTCCTCTTAGGGGGCCTTGAAGAGTTTAGGGTTAAGAGTTTAGGGTTTAGGGTTTAGGGTTTTAGGGTTTTAGGGTTTAGGGTTTAGGGTTTAGTGTCATCCTTGAGCAGGGACTATGCTCATCTACTCTGTATCGGAACTAAGACCTTAAATTCAAAACCCAAACAACATCGAACCCTAAACCCATAACACACTAATGTCAAACCCCAAACCCAAAATCCACCTATCCCTGAACCAACCCCGTCTCCCCGCCTCACCGCTGCTCAGCGCTCCAGTGTCCAGCGCAGCGAGTTTTTGGGCTTCGGTGCTTCAGGGTTTTAAGGGTCTTAAGGGTTTAAAGAGCTTAGGGCTTCGATGCGCATGCGACCTGTGATTGAAAATGGCCTGCAAGACAGGGGTTGATTTAGGTACTACACAACCCCCCAGAACCCCTGCTATCGGCCCGCCCTGCTAAACCCGTTAGCGTCCGAAGAAGGCTGAGGACCCCAAAGGCCACTGTTTGTCAAGGGCTTTCGGGCTCAGGAATAAACTGACGGTTTAGTCGTTACGGTTTAGTAGGGTTTAGGGTTGAGGGTTTAGGCTTTAGGCTGTAGGGCTGTGGGAGTAGGGTTTCGTGGTTTCGGGTCTCGATTGAAGGCGTGTGCTTAGCAAAGGGACATCCGTTTGGGCATCAACGCGATTTGTGGTAACCTGCAACCCAGAGACGTTGGTATGCTGTACAAAGAGGCAAAACGCTGTCAATACCAGTGCTTTGGGAATGGGCATGCATTGCTACCCCCTCACCCAGACAAAAGAAATAAAGAAATAAATGCGAAAAACTACGGCTATAAGAACGACATAAAGAAACAATGTACAGAACGAAGGACAGAAGAACGAGATGAATGACCTAACAACGGCAAAGAGGTCGACATAAATTGAAAAACACATTCAGTTCAGGAAGGAGGAGCAAACAACAGAAAAACTCGAAGAAAGAAGGAAACAACAAACAAAAAGCGAAAGCAACAGAAAGACTGCGCGGAACACTGTTATTATTCACAGTGCTTTTGCTTCCGTGAGCCTCTTCGTGAAACCAGCTAGAAGGCCATCCCAGCACTCCGAGCCAATTTTTCTATAACTATAGACCCAACGAGACCGTGACGCGACTGGAAGTACTGACACTATGCATTTTTCCATATTTCACAAACAAAAGAGCAAGTTTCATGATTCGGCTGGCGTGGTAAGCACAGAAAGGTATGAATCTTGTAGGGCACAGGAAACCCGTGGGGAGGTGTTGGAGGTCCCACTCTGGCCAAGATTTAGTGTGTCACACATCTTGAAATCCACGCTGAAACTGAAGGCTGAACAGCAAACCCTCACTCCTATGAACCCTGAACCCTACATCCCGAAACCTTCAACCCTTTACCCTAAACCCCAAACTCCCAAAAAACCTAGACCCTCGACCTCCTAAACTCCTTTGAAAACCTCAGCCGAGATCAGAAAAAGCCGCATACTATCTCAAAATCTGAATTATATTTAGCAGACTTATCATATTTATATGTAAAGCCGCCTTCTTGCTCCCCATCATCACGGCTACGTTCTTCAACTCAGTCCGCTCTCCCGCAGGGAGCGGCGGACTGGGCATCTTTGGTCCCCAAAGCTGCGGTGATGACGGCGACACTCCCGGCGGTTCAGGGTTTAGGGTTTAAGATCTCGGGTTTGGGATTTAGGGTTTAGGGTTGAAGATTTTGTGTTTGGGATTTAGGGTTTAGGCTGTAAGATTTCGGTTTGTGATTTAGGGTTTAGGAGTTTAGGGTTTAGGGTCAAGAATTTCTGTGAAACCCTGTCCCTGAACGCCTGCTGTAGGGTTTGGGGCTTCATTCTGAATCCCAAGACCTGAACCCCTACGCACCCGAAGCCTCTCAATTCTTGTCCTCGAAGAGCTTCTTGGCTATCAAGCAAAGTATGCCCCAAAAAGGGAACGGAAAGCCTGGCACCTCAATCCTCCAAATTTCAACCCTCCAAGTTAAGCATGTATCATAGCAGCGCAGGACTCGCTCCTAAAAATTGGCGAGGGTCGCCAAGTCGTGCGGCTGCTAGGCGACTACTTCCATGCTTCCCGCTCTCATTGCTAGTGTCGGACTCTTCACAACAGCGCTACGGTTGATGATATAAATCCTGCATTACCCATAATAGGGAATATACCAAATTCCCATACCGTCACCTGCAGAGCTTCGCTGGCTTTACGCCGGTGGCCTCCATCGTCGCCACGACGGCATCCGCGTCGTCTGCCTGCGCAGAGACTCCAATTTCCCTTAATTAGGGAATATTCCTTAAATTATGGCAGGATCCCTAATATGCTTTAAGGTATATTCCCTAATTAAGGGATATTGGAGTCTCTGGGTGCCCTGCTTGGTTGGGGGCTCCCAGTGCTCATGTGCGGAGGCGGGCGGAATGACTTCCAAGCACAACACAGGCAAGGGCGTGACGGTAATGATTGTAGAAAAAACTGCACCGGGTTTCGGTGCTGAATATGATAATGGTGGCTCTGATACTACTGATGCTACGATTGCTGCTGCGATTCCCATGTTACTGCTATGTTTGGACGAAACTTTTCCAGCCCCAATTGGGAGTTTCCGGAAACAGGGGACCCCAATATAGCACCCCAAATAGTAGGATCCTTACTAATTACTATAAGCACCCAAAAATAAGGTACCCATAATTTTCGGAAACTCCCAATTCAAAACGTGAAAGCAGTAAGCCGGCCCATCGTCTGAGAGGCCCTGCACAAACCTGTCTGAAAACCTCTGAGAAAGCAAAGATGTGGGCGGTTGTCAACAGTATGGTCCCTTTTGGGTACCCTAAATAATAGGTGCCGTATTATAAGAAGGACCGAGAAAAAACCCTAATTTTGACAACCACCCATGTACACGAATGCCAATCCTAAACCCTACACCGTAAACCTTACTGCAACACCCTGAACCCCAACCGGACCAAAGCCCGCATACGCCTAAGCCGCCTGGACCCCGAAACCCGAGCCCCAGCATAGAGGTGCGAATGAAGCCTATGAAGCCTACGAAAACATCTCGGGAAACTCTCGCCTGATATGAGTCTAGGGTTTAAAGTTTGTTCGAGAGACATTGCAAACCCGTCGCCGAGCCCCTAGAAACCCCGTCTACCAGAACTCCTATCCTATGTCGTAACCTCAACACGACAAACTTCGGATCGCAGTTAAAGAATGAAGCTCAAATTGAGTAGAAAAACACAAGGATGAGAACTCGAAACCCTAAAACTTACTTAAACAGGATAGCCTCAGCCCTAAACGCCCTAAACCCCCCCCCCCCAAAAAAAAAAAAAAAACACCTAAATCCTAAACCCTACTGCCGCACTGAAAGGAGCTAACAACTCAAGCAGCTTTGCAGCCTCAAGCGACTGCCGCAAGTTCGTCAGATATCCGACCGCCTCGGCTCAAGGTTCCGAGGCTTTGAGGTTGAAGAGTTCCTTTGAAGGGGTTCAGGGGTTCAGGGGTTTAGGGGTTTAGGGGTTTAGGGGTTTAGGGGTTTAGGGTTCTTTTTTTTTTGTCGCTCCTTCTCTCCTGCAACTGAAGGTCACAAGGGGTTTAGGGTTCAGAGTCTAGGGTTTAGGATTTAGGGTTTAGGGGTTTTGTGTTTAGAGTTTAGGGGTTTAGGGTTTAGGGTTGAGGGAAGGGATCTACTAGGGTGCCTTTGAGGGTTCGTGTAAGGGATCTGTAGGGTTCCTGTAAAGGGGCGCGTTTGGGTAGGGCGTAAGGGTTTTTGGGGCTAGGGGGGTCTGGAGGTTGAGTGAGGGATTCGGGTTTAGGCTTTCTAGAAAGCTTCTATACCTCTCTTCTTCAACAACCGGGCCCAAAAAAGTTCAAACTTTCAATGATAGAGCTAATATATAAGTTATATATTAGCTCTATCATTGAAAGTTTGAACTTTTTTGGGCCCGGTTGTTGAAGAATTATATAAGGCCAAAAAGTTTAAAGTTCCCCCGTTCACTATCTAAGATACAGGTCCTGCAAGAGCTTAGGGGCTGAAGGGGCCCTGAACCCTTGTGACCCTAAACCCTTAACCCTAAACCCTAAACCCTAAACCCTAAACCCTAAACCCTAAACTTAAGGTCCAAGAGGGTTGACCGGAGGTTTGGGTCAGGGCTCCTCCTTTTTTGGGTAGTATAATGGTACTTGTTCTTCCATTATAATGATACAATGAACCCAAAACCCTAAAACCCCCTAAGGAGGGGAATGTAATGATACAATGAGTCGGAACTACGGACGTGAAAGGGTACACTGCCCCGACTTACGACCCAACCCCTAAACCCTAAGCCCTAAACAAACCCTAAACCCTAAACCCCGAAGCCCCGACTGATGACCCAAAAGCCGGCCTCCACGAGCTGCGGCATGACATCCTCAAAACTCTCCTGATCAGTGGTTCTCTAAGCTAGAGTCGGGTTCCTTTAAAGGGATCTATAAGGGTTCCTTCAAAGGGGATCCATAACGGTATATAGTATATACTATAAGGGTTTACGGTTAAGGGCTGTCAAGCCCCTCTCCGGCTTCCTTTTATGGGTTTAGGCTCTATGGTTTAGGGGGTGGTTTTCTCAACGAGGCCCCATTGAGGCTCCATTTTTGTAAGGGTGCCCCTAAACCCTAAACCCGGGCGAGCGCGCCGAAGGTCCGGATTCCGAAACCCCAGGCCCCCCGGCCCTCGCAAGCCTCACGCCCTTAGCCCGCAACCCTCAGAGAGATGCTCCTTTGGCATTTAAGGTTCTAGGGTTTAAGATTTTGGGGCTTGTTTAAAGTAATGCTTTAAGATGATTGATCACTCCGTGCTGCGACTTCGCCGGCTTCCGGTCTGGCTCTGGTGAACGGTATCATAACCATTGCTGCTGTGCTTGCTTAAACAATGGTTGCCAACTGCATCACCCTCGTTGCTGCGGCTTGGCCGTTCTACTAGTCTGGTTTCCTTGCATGCAAACCTCCTTCCACCGTTCACACCATCAACCACAGCGAATCCTAGCCCTGAACCTGGGCTCCAGGGAAAGGGGATGAGACCCGTCTGGCAGTGGCCTGGAAGTCGTAAGGCATGTTGTCGGAGATGTACTGCACCATGTCCTCCGTGGCTCTTGGGGGGAGGTTTAGTCTCCGGAGATTGGGGCTCGGGGTTTACGGGGGAGAGTTGGGAGTATACGGCTATCCGAGGACGAGCGGGGCTGTGCTGAAGACCGGGGCACTAGGATTTCGGCTCCTAGGCGGGATCCATAACTTCGATTCAAGTCCTGCTGGGGTCTTCAGATTCCAGGGGAGGCTCTGTCGCAAGACATGTTGGCATCAACCGCCGCGAGTAGAGTAATCTTGTGGCTGCTACATACTCCGAAAACATCAGCTAACAGCTAACTCTAGTCCTCTGCTGGCAATAAGGCTTGCCACGTTTGAAACGATATCGTGATTGCGTGTATCTTGAAAGGAACCTGGTGATACCGCAAAACCTGTGTCGCACAGCTGCCTGCCTAATGCCCTATGCCTTAATGTTAAGCTCATGATATGATATAGGGGCCTTAATCATTTAGAACAGGGTTTTGGGGCCCAGTATACTATGATTCTAATACGGAACCCCCAAAATAGTGTTGGTACTTCTTAAGGCCCGTATATTATCCCCCCCCCCCCCCCACCCCCCTTGATTTCAAGCCCTAGCCCGGGCGCTGGCCTACTGAGGGGAGTGTTGGTACTACGGCTGATGATAGAAATCCTGCATGACCCATAATAAGGAATAGGTTCCTTAAGGTATATATATATATATATATATATATATATATTCCTTCTTATGGGTAATGCAGGATTTATATCATCAACCGTACTACGCTGGCTCTCTCGGCGACTCTGAAAGGCTGTTGATCCCTGCCCCTACATTTAGGTTTTAGGGGTTTAGGGGTGTTAGGGGTGTTAGGGGTTTTAGGGGTTTAAGGGTTTCGGGGTCTAGGGGTTGAGGGGTTTTAGGGGCTTAAGGGTTTAGGGGTTTAGGGTTTAGGTCAGGGATCTTCGTCATCCGGGTTCATTGTTAAGTTCTCGGGACCGAGCTTTTTTAAGTGAGGAGGGGTTGATAAAACCCCCAAGCCTTTAACCCCAAGCCTTCCGCACCCCGGCACTCGAAAGCCTGGGTCACAGAAACCCTAAGCCCTACGCCCCAAAGCAAACCCTGAACCTACCATCAACGAACTTCAAGCTGAAATCTGAAACCCGGCGGTTGAAAGCTTCAACACCGATATAGGGACCTTAATGACTTCAATAGGCTTGTGGGCTCCTTAATGGTACATCTCTAACAAGGAACCCTAAGGAATAATCTTGGTAATTATTGGGGGCTTTATAGTCACAGAACAGACTCAAACTCCAAGCCCTGTGGCTGCCCTGTTGCCTCCTCGTCGGACCTCATGAGCACCTCTACAAACAAACATCGCTCGAGGGAGATATCGGGCCGCTGTCTGGCCGCTGTCAGTGGAGCAAGAGGGACGAAAAGATAGAGTTCAGGTTCGGGGTGTATGGCCTGAGGCTTCAAGTCTTGCGTGTAAGGTGCGATTCATCAGATCGTTGGGGAGTTAAGGCGGGTGGGGCTCAAAAACCGTTGGAGATGTTTAAGGCGCAGGCTTCAGGTGCAAGGTAAGCCGTTCCTAAAACCACGTTGGTGAGAGTTCTGTTGGTAGTCTCCCCATAACAAAAACCCAAGATGCGCAAAGCACCATTACGCACCCCACTACCCTAAACTCAGAACCCTAAGCCGCAGAAACCCTAAACCCCAAGCTCCATACCCCAATCCATATACCCTATACCTCAAACCATCTTCCCTAGACCCTGGACCCTAAACCCCAAAAACCCACCGGAAACGGACCACCTCTGGCTGAGAAGGCTCGTATAGCTTTCCGCTTTTCTGTTCTCGGGGTGAAGCGAAATAACCTCCATCCCAAAGGGGCTTGGGTTTAGGGATGTTTAGGCTTTAAGGGTTTGGGTCTTTTCTTGAATGCCTTCTTCGTCCGCTTCCGAATTCGTTGTGCCAGACCCTGATGCCCTGCCCCTCACTTCGCCTTCGGCCCTTTCGACGACCAACTTAGGGTTTACGGTATAGGGTTTAGGGTTCATGATAGAAACTCCCCGAGCTTTGGGACTTAGTCAGGGTTTAGGACTTAGGGCTTGTGGATGCTTATGGCCAGTGAGCCCTCGTGCGTACCTCTGCTCCCTTGGGCGGCAAGTCTACGCCCAACATCTCCTGAAAGACAAACGAGTCTGTTTGGACTTCAGGGTTTTGGAGCTTTTGAATACTATACAATCGTGTCAAACTTCCTATATGGCTGCACTGTGATTTAGAGTTTAGAGTCTAGGGTTTTTGGTCGAGCTGACCCATGCAAAACTGAGTTTGTAAAACATGGCTAAGGGATGCTTGCTGAGTTGGATCCCACACCGTGCACCCTGAACAACCCGTTGGCACAGGGTAACTTGTTTTCGGTTCGTGCCTAAACACTACGAAAAGGCATGCTTGCTGTGCTTGCTGGCGTCCTTAAACTCAGAATGGGGGAACCACAGCGCTCTTCAGTGCAGAAGCTTTGCTGCAGGATTCAGGATCATTTCGAAATGGTGGGTTTGGGTTTTTTGTTAACGTGTAGTGACTTTTCAACCTGCCTGCAGTCGGCTTACACACAATGGACACGTTCCACGTGGACGCTGGACGTCGGATACTGACCACAACTTGTACCTAGTACAGACGAATGAAAGGAGTGCTGTGAACAATATTCCAGCAATGACCCAACCTCGACCTCTTCCTCAACGTCACCTGGTTCGTCATCGTCGCCATCTTCTTCACATCTTCTTCAGCCACGCCCGCCGCCGGTACTAAGGACCTCGATGAATCTTGCGGAGTACCTGGACGCGGTGCCCTTTTCTCGACTTCGTCGTCGAGCTCACCGTGACCGTAGTCGAAGTCGTGACGCTGTGGCAACCACCCAGGAGACTGAGGAGACTGGACAGTCGGCGGGCTCACGTCTTTGGGACGAATTGGCACGTATGGGAAGTAGCTCTATTTCGCCAACAGAAGAAGGATCTCCTGTTCCACCTAGTGCTCTTCCTGATCTACCTGATGACGAACAGAGGGCCAGGGATCGTGGTGGAGATGTTGTCGTCGATGAGGCTGAGAACGAGGGAGTGACCCATGCTCTACGAGATGCTGCTTCTGATGATGCTGACTCGGAAGATGCTGACTCTGACGGTGACTCCTCTCCGGGAGACAGGGTAACACGCTGATGCTCCGTGCCAGCATGGGCATGTAGGGCCGTCACATGATGTCGCCAGCTCCTGCGGCGCAAACCGGCGATTGTGGGGCGACTCATCTGTGGAAGACTCTGCCACAACGATGTCAGGTTCTCTAGTAGGCCGGGCTGAAGTAGAGCGGCAGCAGTGCTTGTAACCTGCGAAGTTCCAGAGGAAGAAGGCCTATCGCCGAACCCGGCCTCTCTGCTGATCTCACCCCAGAGGGAAGCCTCCATGGTCGGCGAGTTAAACACTTGCACTCATGTCGGAGCCTCTTCGATGGCCACCCCAGTCAGCCGTAGTAAATGAAGTAGTCGTCGCTGGCGGGCTTGAAGATGGTGAAGGAGATCAACCACATCCGCGCGACTGGCGTAGATCAGCTCACAGTTGACCGCATCACGTACAACAGCTTGTCCCGATGGTTGTCTGGATCCATGAGATTTCATCCTCATCAATGTGACCCGACGTGGTGCTCGTGGATGTAGTGCTCAATATGGCCTCTTCCGAAGTCACCTCGGCCCAGATGCCAAGGAGCTCACCCTGCAGGGCCCGTTCAACACTGCCAGGTATGGAGTCAGAAGCCTCCGACAGGGTATTGCCCGGCTCTCCCACACGAGCAGGAGGAGCACAGATCGGTTGTCCATGCTCATCAAGGTTCACATCTGTAGGCGGCAAAGGTGCACTGCTGGACGAGGACGAGTCTCTGGAACGGCTTCTCAACAGGAGGTCCAGATCCAGCACTGGGAACCAACTGGGTCGTGGCGGAGGCCTGCGGGTCATGTGCCGGTACTCCCACGGAGCGGATCGAGTCACCTTCAGTTTCACCCGGCTGCAGACCCACGCGGAGATGGCGCTCCAAATTTTCAGTGAAGACCCCGGTGTAGCCACATACCCAATTGAGCAGCTGCCATCGGTCCAGTTGTTGAGTCGGTACACGTTGAATCGGCCAATATCCTCGTGGTTGAAGACGACGGACTGGAGCCAGTTGTTGTCAATGTCGTGGGTGGCAGAAGTAGACGGGTAGGCCGAGTCCTCAGAATCCATCACAGCAGCAGTCGCTCCATTGGCAAGGTTGGTCTCCTCAGCATCCTCATTTTCCTCCACCTCATTCTCCTCGGTGTCAAGCGGCATGGGAATGTCCTCCCCATCTTGAAGCCGACCACAGGGCCGAACTCCTTTCAGCCCGCGCAGGCGTTCTTGAGGCGGATCAAATTGAGCAACTCGGTGGCATCACTGGGGTGCTTTGCTGCGTCTGCTCTTAGAACCTTTCGAGCTGTTGCCTCGCAACGCCAACAGCTCAGCCTTCGGCAACTGCATCTTGCAGCTTCTTTTTCTTTTTCCAACTCAAGAACTTTCGCGCGGCTGGCCGCTATCGTTTCTTTTGCACCCAAGAGCTCGTGGCGGAGTCGCTCGGCCTCGTCTTCGGGGATTTAGGCTTGGATTTAAAAGCTTAGGGTTTAGGGTTTAGGGTTGAGGTTGAGGATTTGGGATCTAGCCGTTTGTCAGGCAATGCTTGGTATTGACACAGACGGAAGTGGGCAGGTTTGGGCTGAGTCCACTCAGTGCTACACGCGAGTTCCTGGGCAACAAAACAGCATGATCCCAAATTTCGGACTCCGAATCTCTGAACCATATAATGTAGGGGCCTTAATGATTAGAACAGGGTTTTGGAGGTTCCTTATTACAACTATAATAGAATATACCTCCCAAACCCTATTCTAATTATTAGGGCCCCTATATTACCGTCATCCGGAAACCTCAGCCAAAAGCCTTCGTCGACACCTTTCAACATTTCAACCCGAAATCTTGTGGGATGTCTTGCACGAACCCGAAACTTGAACGCAAACCGACACCCCATCGGAAGGTGTGGCTCCAGCACTTCCAGCAGGGGCTCCAAGATCTGTTTGCGGCCCTGTAGAAGGCTTTCAAGTATGATTACCTGCTTTGTTCCGGGTTTAGGGCTTGCGGAAGGTCGCTTGGTTTGAGGTTTAGGGCTGCGCTTCCCTAACACCGTGGAGCAGGCTGTTTTGTAGGGCGTCTCGACAGTTCTTACCAGGGTTTTTGGCTGGTGGCCTGCACCCGACATCTCCGAAAACCTGAACCCCAAACCGAAAGTCCCTCAGGTAATATGTTTCGGGTCTACTTGGAGGTTCATGGGAAGTTACAAGTAGGGTTATAAGTAGGGTAACTATACTTATAGCCCATATTCAGAGCACTTGTCACCCCACTTACTGTATAACTGCCGCTGAACTTCCAAGTAGTTGAGGCTTCAGGATTGAACCTTCGGAGCCCCGCTACCTGTGTAGAAGCGCCCCTTCCTCAAGCCCTATATGGGAGTTTCCGAAAATAGGGGTACCTTATTTGGGGCTCCTTATAATAGGGATCTTATATTTAGGGTACCATATGTGGGTCCCCTATCTTCGGAAACTTCCATATATGCTTTGTACAGATAGACTTTCGGCACCCAAAGCCTCCCGAAGAACCCTGCAAGAATGAGGAACCAAACCGTCTTGACCTACAGATACCTGGGCCCTTAACCCTCAAAAATACTCCACGGATAACTGTGCTCCTAAGGTACTCTGCAGCCGGGGACCATCGTTCTGATGGCGCAGCTCCCGGAGTTGAACTTGCTGAGCCCTAAATTGCTAGACCTTTCTCCCAAAACCTAAACCCTGGGTATTGCACGCTTAGCCTAACTTCGAAGCCCCTGATAGAGACCTTACACCGTTTCACTTCTAGAAACCTGAACACACGCCAAAACGGGAGGGGCCGGGGGGGTCGCTCTAGCACCCTGAACATCGGCTAAAGCGTCTGTGTGCTCAAAACCGTAATGAGCACGCAACCCTGGCATGACACGAGACGGAGATGCAAAACCATGCCACACAACAACCCTAAGTTCCCAACCCAACCTTCACAGCGACCCTGCATCCCAAATTGCTGGAACTCCAAGACATCAAGCTCGAACTCCCAAAACCATTTTGGGCCTGGAGCTGCTAATTGAAGGGGTCATGAGCAAGAAAGTCATAACCTTCGATGTTGTAGGGTTTGGGGCTGCCGGTAAAACATGGCACAACCTCATGCCAAACACGGAATCTAACACGCTGGATTCAAAACATGCCGTCTGACCCCATACCCCAAAGATAAACCATCGTACGTAACTGAAAGCCGTATGTAACCCTAAGCCCTATACCCTCACCGCACAGGGCCGCGGCCCAAGTTCGGGCCATCTTGGAGCCCACCATGTTATGGTGCCTGGGTGAGCTTGGAGCTTTTCCGGCTCGAAAGCGAGGAATGTGGGAGTTTCCGAAACTAAGGGACCCTGATATAATACCCTAAATATTAGGATCCTTTTTATAAGGATCCCAGAACCTAATATAATACCCTACATAGTAGGATCCTTATTATAAGGATCCCAGAATAAGTTAGCCCCAATTTTCGGAAACTCCCACGGAAATTTAGGGGTCAAGGTGCTTTGTGGGGTTTAGGGCGTAGTGTTGAGGCTCTACACTCACGATTTTTGCTACTCTTTCAGGGCTCTTGATGCAGGCGCCTTAAACCCTAAATCCTAAACCCTAACCTCTAAACCTAAAACCCTAAACCCTAAACCCACAACCCTAAACCCACAACCCTAAACCCAAAACCCTAAACCGCTTCCGGGATTGGGTTGCAGCCGTATGCCACGATATCGGCGAAGCCTCAGCCTGTGCCCAGAGACATACAAACTCCACTGGTTAACCCCTGAACCCTACTTGGAGGTTCATGGATAGTTATAAGGGTTCCTTTAAGGGTCCCTTTAAAGGGATCTTTAGGGATTCTGTAAGGGTGTAGGGCTTAGTGTCTACTTGGAGGTTCATGGGTAGTTATAAGTGGGGTTGTAAGTCCCCAAATATGGGTTATAAGTATAGTTACCTACTTATACCCCCTCCAAGCATTTTCACTCTCAACCCCTGAGCCCTGAACCCTGAACCCGCATTGCCCTGCTTCAACCTTGAACCCTGAAGCCATTGGGTTCAGGGTTCCGGTGAAATTTTCTTAATGTTTAGGGCGTAGGGTTGCCATTGGGTTCAATGTTCCCATGAGTCCATGAGGGTTTCGGAGCACTCAAGTTTTGAGGGTTCGGAGGGTGCAAGAGCTGGAGGGCTTCAAAGGAGATTCCTTGGAGATGTGAAAGTGCAGCCGTCGCCCTGGCCAGGGCCCTGAGGACCTCATTTAGGGTGAAGTTTCGGTTTCACCCGAAGCCCTAAACCCTAAAGTCCTCATCGCTAGACCCTAAAGTCCTCATGTAGGAACCGGGTTTCTTAATCAGGTTCCTACATTAATCCCTAAACCTTCAAGTCCTAAAGCTTCACAGGAATGGAACTGCAGAGGATGCTTGGAGGTTATAAGTAGGGTAACTATACTTATAACCCATACTAGGGGACTTATAACCCCACTTATAATTACCCTAAGCCCTTATACCCTAAACCCTATAGAACCCGTAAAGGAACCCTTAAAGGAACCCTATATTCCCACTCATAACTACCCCTGAAGCTTCATGCAAACGCTTCCGTGACCCCACAGTCGGCCTTCGGTCGAGCCCTAAGATGCCAGAAGAAGCGTTGCGTTGGGAGTCGCCACCCCTAGGCATTAACTCAAAACGCACCTAAGAAATCTCTACATCATGCCTAAGTAAGATCTAAATAGTATCTAAGCCATATCTGAATGATACCCCTCTACCCTGCAATGGACCCTGCCAGCCTAGAGTTTGGGCGCTGGGGATATGCTATTATAGCCATTGGAGTGGCATCACCAATTCTTTCAACCACGACATTATGTCATTGCCAAACGACATTCACCTACTACATGCCCTTCAGCCTTCGGAAATCTAAATGCCGATGTACATTCATTGCTCTGTAGACCGATTTGGGGCCCTCACCAAAGGTCCACAAAGCCCTGGATCATTGCCAGGCGCACCTAGTCCAGGGCTCGCTCAAGAGCACCACTACGAAGTTGAAACAAAGGCTTCTGTATTTTACCCTGTAACCCACACTTCCCCAACAGACCACTTATCGGATGCATCACAGCCATAATGCGTGAACTTTCTTGAGGCATGCCAAGTACATTCAGCACCCCTCCGGTGTGTTGTACGAGGCTCATGCTCGGTGTGTACCGGGTATAGCATGGGGCCTCGCATTTACAAGGGTTGAAGGTGCAGAGCGTAGAGGTACTAGGGCTTTAGGGCTTATGGCTTAAGGTGTAAGCAACATTCAGAATTTCATCGGAGCTGCCCCTTGCACGAAGCCTTGCGCAAGATCCTTCCACGAAGCCTCCCCAGCGCCTTCCGCGACCTCCCACGGACTGCCCTGAAAAAAACCTGAACCCTGAACTTCAAACCCGAAACCCCAAAACGAACTTCAACCTGTTTTTTAGGAGGGGAGGGCCTAAGCCTCATGCCAAACATGAAACCCAGAGCCAGGTTCGGGGTTCCGGATTGCAGAGAGGAGGGCGCGATGGGGTTTCATAGGGGCTAATACCACGGCCTCAGTAATTGTAATAGGGCTTTGTGGAATACATTACTGTATCATGATAATACGACACCCTCATGAAGAGCACTACTCACTGACTCGAACCCTATCTTATCTCGCAAACAGTCAAGCGCCACACCAAGACACCAAACCGCAATTCAGGGTTTGGGTTTAGGGTAACCCTAAACCCACAAACCCGCCTTGGAGTCTGTCGAGCCTCCCCCTAAACCCTAAACCCTAAACCCTAAACCCTAAAATTCTACACAGAGAACAACCTCGTTGCCAAAGACCCTAGCATGCTTCAGCCCTCCACTTTGAATCAGCATTGAAGTATGAAAAGCACCAAAAGCAAACCACAAAAACCCCAAAGCCCCCCAAACCCTAAACCCTAAAACCCTAAACCCCAAAGCCCCCCCAAACCCCAATCCTAAAACCCTAAAAACCCCAAACCCCAAAGCTCCAAAGGTCTCCAAAAAAAGAAAAGAGTAGAAACAACAGACAAACCCTAAACCCTAAAAGAAACCTAAAACCCCAAAACCCTACAACCCGTAAAACCTAAAAACCAAAAAAATCCTAACAACAAAAGGTCAGCAGCAATTCTGAACCTAAAAGACATGGTCCCTTGGCATTTACTCTCATAGGTCATACCACCTTCCCCTAAACCCCAAACCCCTAAACCCTAAAACCCCTAAACCCAAAACCTAAACCCCTAAACCCTAACCCCTGAACCCCTAAAGCCTAGAAATCTTCATAGAATCCCATGGAGCCTCTTCGAAGTCGACGACGGCCGACCGCGCCTTGGACCTCGCCGGAGAGACCGGGGACCTCGGAACACACCCAAGGGTTTAGGGTTTAGGGTTTAGGGTTTAGGGCTTTTTTGGGTGGCTTTAACGAGTTTCGGGTTTAGGGGGGTTAGGGGTTTAGGGCCTGGGGGTTTAGGGTTTAGGGGGTTTGAGGTATAGGGTTTAGGGGGTTCAGGGTTTCGGGTTTGGGTAGGGGGGTTTAGGGTTTAGGTTCGGCGGTTTAGGGTTTCGGGCTTTTTGGGGGTTTAGGGAGGTTTTGGTGGGTTTCGGGGGCTTTAGGGTTTCGGGCTTAGGGGTTTAGGGGGTTTAGGATTTAGGGTTTAAGGTTTAGGGTTTATAAGGTTTGGGGCTTAGGGTGTAGGGTTTATAGGGTTTAAGGTTTAGGGTTTAGGGTTTAGGCTCAGGGTTTATAGGGTTTAGGGTTTCGGGTTGAGAGCTTTAAGGTTTCGGGTTTAGGATTTTGGGGTTTACGTGTTTGGATTTTGGGGGTTACCGTGTTGAGGTTTCGAGCTTCGGGCTTAAGGGGTTTAGGAGGGTTTTGGGCTTACGTGGTTTAGGGGGGTCTAGGGGTTTCGGTTTCTTTTTTGAAGGCCTTTTGGTGTCTACACAAGGATTTGGGGTTAGGGCTTAAGGCTTCGGTCTTAGGGGCTTTAGGGTTCCGGGTTTAGGGCTTAGGGTTTCGGGCTTGGGGTTCCTGGTTTCGGGTTTAGGGCTTAGGGCTGAGGGTTCCGGGTTTAGAGTTTTGGGTTCCGGTTTGTTTTTTGAGGGTTCCGCGGTTCCGAGTTTTGGGTTTCGGGTTTTGGTTCTAAGGTTTAGGGTTTACCGTTTAGGGTTTACGGCTTCTAAATATTTTTCGAGCGCTAGAGGCTATTCTGGTGCTCTATAAGGAGCTTGATCAGGCTTCAATAACGCCTTTAGCATGCGGCTCCAGATACCAACGAATGTACTTTGAGCTTGCAGCTTAAGGGGCTTAGAGCTCATATGGCTCCGGATTCCGGGCTCAGCGGCTGCTTAGAATATAGGATTTCGGTCGCTGAAATTACGAGTCGCCTAATCTGTGGGGCTTAACAACCAAGTTACGCCTCTACTGGGAAACTAGGTCATGTTCTAGATACCTGTAGGCTCCATTGTAGTTCCTTTTTGTGGCTTATATTTAGGATCTTAAATGGTAATCCCGAAAAGGAACTACGATGGAGCTTATGGGTAAGGAGATCATGAGGTTTATATAATCATGCTCTTAGGGATGGCCTTTTGGGCTCAAGGTATTCAGACTCGCAGCGACACATCGCCACAAGTCAAATCACAGAATATGGCTTTCGGGTCGGGATCAGGGCTCAAGGTTTACGTGGAGGTTCATGGGTAGTTATAAGTGGGGTTAGAAGTCCCCTAATATGGGTTATGGGTATAGTTGCCCTACTTATGACCCCACTTATAACTACCCATGAACCTCCAGGTAGGCTTACGGCTTAGTGTTGTTGTTTGGATCGGTTTGGTGTTCTCTTCGTTTTAAGACCAATACTAAGTTGACCACTATCTCTAGACGGTACACACCCGCATGTTATCGTGGAACCTCGAGGAGGCTGTGGCCACGGAATTGGGCGGGGTACATTTAGGACAATCCGTCGGAGCCCAGGTTATTGCTAATCGTGGGTTGTTGTTTAAATGAACAAAAATCGTATAGTACTTAGAACTTCTGACCTAATAACCTATGGGTAAGTGGACTCCAAACTGTGTAGTCGCAATAACAAAGCCGGTTCAAGGCAAATGTTGCGTAAGGCATTTCACATGATCCGCTGGGCATTCTTTAGCTCATCCTGCACAGCCCTACCGCCACCACTGCTATGAGAAGCAATCCAAGGTGATCTCGGATCCAAAAACGGATGGCAGCAAAAGCAAAGAAGCAGGCTTGGGTCTGTTGCGAATCCTTCAGGTCTTCCTGCACGGTGCTGCTGTCACCACCAGTTTGAGGATGACCCCATGTCACCACGGATCCGTCACCAAGAATGGCGGCAAAAACACAGACAGAGGCTTGGATCTGCTTCACATTCTTCAACTCACTATGCACAGCGCTGCTGTCGCCACCTTGCTTAGCATTGCCCCAGGTCACGACGGATCCATCCTCAAGAATGGCAGCGAAAGCACCGGAAGAGGCTTGAATCTGCTGCACACCCTTCAGCTGGGTCTGCACAGCGCTGCTGTCGCCACCACGGCCCGCATCACCCCAGGTTACAACTGATCCGTCGGCAAGAATTGCGGCAAAAGCGAAGAAAGAGGCTTGGATGTGCTTCACATGATTTAACTGATGCTGCACAGCACTGCTATCACCACCAGTTTGAGGATGACCCCATGTCACCACCGATCGATCATAAAGAATGGCAGCAAAACCACCGAAAGAGGAGGCTCGAATCTGCTGCACACGCCTCAGCTTCGTCTGCACAGCGCTGCTGTCGCCACCACCGTTCGCATCGCCCCAGGTTACCACAGATCCATCGGCAAGAATGGCAGCAAAGGCGAAGAAAGAGGCTTGGATCAGCTGCACATCCTTCAGCTGATCCTGCACAACGCGGCTATCACCACCAGTTTGAGCAAGACCCCATGTCACCACGGATCGATCACCAAGAATGGCAGCGAAAGCACAGCAAGAGGCTTGGACCTGTTGCACGCTGATCAACTGATCTTGCACATGACTACTTTCGCCACCACGCTCCGCATCACCCCAGGTCACCACGAATCCATCGGCAAGAATGGCAGCAAAGGACCAACTAGAGGCTTGAATCTGCTGCACATTGATCAGCTGATCTTGCACAGCGCTGCTGTCGCCACCATAGCTCGCATCACCCCAGGTTACCACGGATCCATCGGCAATGATTGCCGCAAAAGCGCCGCAATAAGTGGCATGAATGTGCTTCACATTCTTCAGTTGATCACGCACAGCACGGCTGTCGCCACCATACTTGGCTCTGCCCCAGGTCACCACGGATCCATCACCAAGAATGGCAGCCATAGCCATTCCGCGACCTTGAAGTTGACGCCTGGCAATAACCAAGCTAAGCGTGTCACCACTCCGGATGTTCGCAGCCAGAATCTTCGAGCCTGTATCCAGCGCTCGTCCGGCTGAGTTCAGCAGCCAACCCTTTCCGATGCCCAGTGCAGTTTGGGCCCGAAGCCTCAGCGTTTTTACTTCTTCGTCCAACTCGACTTGCACAGTGGCCGTCTTGCCACTAAGCATTCCAACTGACACGGTGATCGACATGCTGTGCTAGGTAGGGGTGCGCAGAGCCGGTGATTTCCAGGCTGCGGGCAGAGAGAGCTTCCTCTCAAGATTCCTTTAAAGGACGACAAAGACCTCCTAAAGTAGGCATCCGGAAAGGAAGCGAGGACTTGATCGCAGAAGAACAAACCTTCTATGCAAGTTCTCGAGTTTTAGGTTCAGATTCCCATCCTCTTTTTGTTGGCCCCAAGTGCTGTAGGTTATGCTAGCTCAAGAAAGCCCTAACAAGAGCACGAAGAACTAACAACAGCCCTGAGAAGACTAAAGCGGCCACAAGCCTTGTCAAATGAAATGAGATGAAGGGATCTTAGTTGCTGAGTTCATAAACGGCAAGAATAAAAAGTGTACACTTTCAGTTTTATAGTGGGTACTATTATCCCAAAAAGTGTAAAGTGTATCCACTCAGCTGCTAAGGGATGAAGCTTTGCTTCTGTAAGGGCCCCCATCGCTTTCCTCTGGCAGATCAGAGGCCCGTCCAATGGTTCGGGATTTGAGACTGGTTTCAACGGTTTCATCTGTTCGGCCGCACCTGCATTCACCTTGAACCCGCGAAAACAAACGTAGGTGCCCCACGTCGCCATTGGTTCCTTGCACGGCCGAGATATTGAGTTGCTTAGGGTACCAGTATGAGGGCTTGGGAACATGGGGTTTGGGGTCTTGGATTTAGGGATTGGGGCTTTAGGGTAGAATCGAGGTCTTTGGATTATTTGTTAAAAAACCTCTTTTCCACCTGCCCAAAAGGTTAGTTGCAATGCCACATGCGGCGGAGAGGTCTTTGGATTTAGGAGTTTAGGTGTCAGGGCATGGGCTTAGTATGGTATAGCAGGCTGGCAAAGCCCGGAACTCAATTCCGTGAGCTCTGAGGGACCCATACTTCGAACTTCGAACACCAAACCAAAAGTCCCAAACAAAAGAAAGACCAAAGCCTCAATCAGGGAGAACTGAGACACATCTCTCGACAGCCTCTGAACACCATCGAACGCCAGATTTCGCGGAGGGGGCCGAGGGGTGTTTCATCTGACGAACCCCTTCCTTTCAAACCCTCGAAGCCTGAAATGGCTTTGGCTCAAGGGTCTAGGGTCTGAAGTTGGTATGTACATATATATATATATATACATACATACATATGCACGTTTACTTGTAAATATATCTATATGTATGCTTATATGTATGTATATATATATATGTATGTATATACATGCGTATGTATGAAGTTAACTCTGCTTCTTGACCATCTTGGTCTCTTGAAACTCCATCTCCCTGCTCCCCTGGACACCCAGGTTCGGGCTTAGGGTTGTTTGGGTGTAGACTCAGGGCGGAAGGCTGTCAGCTTAGAGCGTAATAGAATGCCCCTTGAAAGCAAGCATCGCAACAGTTCAGTACCAGCCGGATAAGAACAGCAACAGCGCAGTACGGCTAGCTGGAAGACTCGTCATACAAGCCGGCTCCCTTTTCGACTCTTCTTGCGCGGCGGGAGGGTCACTAGGCACCCCGATCGGCAGCCCGCCTGGCAGAGGTGTCACTCCTCTTGCAGGACTTGGGGTTTGGGGACTCGTTTTCGGGCTTAGCTTGGCAGTGTTTAAGCTTCGTCAAAAAACTTCAATCTAGGCTTAGGGTCTAAACCGGATACATGCATATTCTTGCCTGGACGATATGGGAGTTTCCGAAAATGGGGGTACCTTATTTTGGGGTCCTTATAATAAGGATCCTACTATTTAGGGTACTATATTAAGGTCCCCTATTTTCGGAACCCCTCATATACACAGGCAAGCACACATCTCCAACAATCAAGCCCTCGGCCTAGTTGAAGTCACCCTGTTGACGGAGAACCGCAGGTCATCCTGCTGACAAACAACCCCGGTGCAAGAACCTTTCGATATGCGAAAGTCAAACAATCGAGTGGCCCGCGAACGATTTGAATAGGGTTTTCGGGTATAACCCTAGGCTCAACACCGTGAAAGATCTCAAACCTGCACCCCTCACAGGCCCACCTTGCTGCATCAACCCGACCAGAGCGCTAAAACCAAAGCCTTGTCCAGCCCAAGGTATGTACGAATCCCAAGGCTCAAGACACTGGGCTATATTGCTGCTCTGTCCACCAAAACCAAAGTGAGCATGAGAATTGCCAGGCGCCCACACAACGAGGCGACCAATCCCTAGGCCCTAAACCCTCGTCAGGAGGCCCTAAATTTAGCCCCAAGGAGCCCCGATCAAGCCCCTACCCTTAACTCCAAGCCCGAAACCCCCTGAACCCCTAAACCCCCTAAAACCCTAAACCCAGGGTTTAGGGTTTAGGGTTTAGGGTTTAGGGTTTAGGGTTTAGGGCTGAACCTTCTGCGCGACCTGGAGGGCCGGCGGCTGTCCGACGGTTTCCGACTGGCCGGCCTGGTTCCTCCGGAGTCCGGCCTGGGCGGATCAAGGCGAGGAGGAAGGTTCGGGGTTCCTGTATAGGAACCAGTTTTTGGAACCCTTTAAAGGGGGTTTAGGGTTTTAGGGTTTTGGTAGGAACCCTTTTTAAGGGTTTTGGGGTCTACGGGTTTAGGGTGTTAGGACTTGGGCTTTAGGATTTTAGGGTTTCGGGAGTAGGGCTTGCGGCTTCAGTTCTTGCAGAAACTTCAAGCGATCTACCAGGTTTTATGGGCCTTGATGAGGCTTTATTAATGATTTCGTGTGGATTAAGGTATAGAATACACCAAAACCGTTAAGCCATGAGCGGTTGCGCTAACCTTTTACTCAGAGGGCTTGGGCACAATAGTCAGCGGTATATAGTACACAACATGATGACTGTACACGACCATACAAACTCCTACGCAAGCTGCGATGCAAAACTACACCCCCCTCACCTAAAGGCACGGTCACTGCATTCAAAAACACAACATACCTTCGCCTGCAGGTGGAAGAGCGCTTCGGCTCGGAGTTTGACGATCGGCGTGGAGTTGCCTCCCGCGTCATCAGTTCAGCAAAAGTACATGTGACTATCGTGTGCCTCGAGGAAGGGTGCGAAAACTGCATGCGAGCTTTTCTTCAAATGCAAGACGCTGGTTTCAGCGTGGAGCAAGGACGATAGGAGTTCGCCGCACAGCCACTTGAAAAATATCACAGGCCGGGTGAACATCCCTCTTGCTCGAAAGAATCAGACTACTGGGTCGGCTTATCAGTTCCAACGCCATCCGCGATTGCGCCACTCACGCCAGTCCTGGTTGTCCCAGTTCTGGCCGCGCCATGATCCCCAGGATGACGAAGACCAATTCTGCCACCAGGATTGATTATCCCAGTCCCAGTCGCGGTTGGTGCGATCGGCGGCCTCGGCGTTAGCCGGGCTTTTGCCTTTTCCCTTCTCTGCTGCTCGGGCATATGTAGAGCCCTTGCCACCACCTGGCGGATGCTGCTGGGCATACTTCGGCTGGGCAGCACGACTTTGATTGGCCTTTTTGATGGTTTCATCAACCGTCTCCACCATGAAGGGTAGGTCCTTTGCCAAAACGGTCTGCAGGTCCGTACCCACTGCAGCGGGATCGTAGTTGAGGAGATCCACCTTGCCGTGGCCAAAAGTCTGTAGACGGATGCCCCCTTTTTGCCTGGCGATGTTGTGAGCGAAATCTTGGAACGAAAGAATGGCTCCGTACCATGTAAATGCTACTGGCGTATCCTCCGGCGTGGACGTTAGTCCCGCTGCGCACAACTTACCGCCAATGCCATCGTCTCCGGTAAAGAAAACGATACGACACTCTGGAACCTCGTCCGTGCGGAACTGGTGCGTGGAACTCGCCGCTCTGGAGGATCCAATAGCCAGCATGCGTTGCGATCGAGTGCGGCCAGGGTTCGGAAGGTAGGCGAAGCAGAGGCAGTCGAGGGCACGGATCGTTCTGCGTGTGTATCCCTCTTTGGCCATTGAAATTGCGTATTCATTGTCATGATTGAACCTCGCCACGCAATCAGTGTAGCCCTTTTTCACGGCTCTCTGCTTTGCCACTTTGGCTTTCCGAATAACCTCGCCTTCTAAGGAGTTCATGCCACGGCCGGCGACATCTTTCGATGCGCTTTGAAGGCTTGGCCTCACTCCCACTCGTTCAGCGGCATCACCCATCTCCTGAAGCAGAGCTTCACGCCCACGTGCCAACAGCGTCCGTCTGCCCTGTGCCTTCAATTGACCTGGTCGAACTGGCCCTCCGCATTGAGAGCAAATCCTTTGGCCTTGAAGACACTCAGCTTTGCAGTGGTAGCATTTGATCTTCTCCAAAAACGCGGCGGATGGCTTGGTCTCACTACCAGCATAAAGTACTGGTTCTGGCCTTCCCACCGGCTCCTGGATTGCTTCAACTGGTGTACCCTCAGCATCCAGCGTCACCGTTGTCGCCATTCCGTCACCGATGTACACAGTCCTGATTGGAGGACCCGGCTGTGCAATGATGGTGCCTGGTTCAACAAGCGGCCTCTCCTCTACGGAGGGCATTTGCTCATCATCAGGAGCTTCATCGTCGTCAGCCTTTGCAGGGGCATCGGTGATAGCCAACGATCCCTCAAGCACATCAGCGACATCTGGAATGGGCGGTAGGGATGTTTCCTCAGCTGGAAGGGTACCATGTTCTTCATCAATAGGCGGTGCGAAATTGTCCTGAGTCGTCTCCTCAGGCTCGGGTTCATCAAGAACGATATCGATGCCGGCCTCAGCGTTAGCTGGGCTTTCACCTTGTTCCGTCTCATCAGGAGGGACAGCGCCTCCCGCACGGGACCAAAGTACGACATCGCGTTGCGTGTCATTGATGAACAAGATGGTCGAGCCGGGCACTGCCTCGGAGCACAGTATGCCATCAGATTCCGTAAGGAATAGGTCGCAACCAGCTTCGAGGACCTCCCGGGTGTCGAAGACGATCTCAATTGGTGCACTTGCACGGAGTCCTGAACGTACCTTTTGCTCTTCGAGCGGCAGCGGCGCAAAATAACAATGCGCCTTCTCAGAACCTCCAAAACCAGGCAACAAACGATCTTCCAGAATCGCATACGCCGCATCATGTGTTGTGCGATGATAGAGTCTGGGCGGCGCCTTATCAATCGGGATCAACGGCCTGCCCTCTCGGGCGGCATTAGCCAGCTCTTCAGAACGCTGCAGTGTAAGATATGCCTTTGCAATAGAGGCATTGTCGAGCTGCAGATTGCTGGAGTGGCCTTGCGTACAACCGACGTAGACCGGAAAAGCCGGTTGGCCAATTGCATCGGCAGCACTGTCCATTGGTCCGCGAAACATAAGGCGCTGTTTGTTGTCGGTGGCGATCATGTCGAGGAGGCTTCCTAAACCAATGTCGCTTCCAGGTCTGCATCGATTAGCAACCTCAAGCACTTCCATGGCTAGTACCCATGGCCCGCTCCACGATCGCATTTTAAATTGATTACCCTTGTTTTCGAAGTTGCCCCTGATCAGTCCAGTGACAAATGTGACCATCTTGTGGTCACATCTGGGGTAGTGTAGGCCTGGCGTCATGTCTTTTTGGAACACTTCGATGTACTGGTCGGCCTCCTCTTGCGAGGGGCATTCGTTCCAGTAATCATACAGGGTAATGCCAGTCATCTCGGCGAAGTCGTAGGTGTCATTCATGAACCTCATTCCGCGCGATCCCTGCACTGCGAGCTTGGTCAATCGCTGCTTGTCGGCCTCAGCCTTTGCGAGGCGAGCTCTTTTTGCAGCGTGCTCGGTGCCAGAGTCGCCAGACAGAATGCCTCCACCATAAATGGATGCGTCGATCGGCATTGGTCGAATATCGCCAGAAGACGAAGCCGCAGTACTCGCCGGGGTAACGGCCTCCACCTTAGGTGGGGCTTTGTTCCATTCCGGCGAATTGATCTCCTCTTCTGTTGCGAAAACACCGGGCGCGACGCTGATGACATTCTGAATCTTCATCTCCTTGAGGAAGTCGGGGACCTCAGGCGCAGGCAGTTCGGCGTGACTTTCGTCACGCTTCTCCTCCCAGTATGCGTCGTCCCACGGATCCTCCTCCGTTGGCTCCGCTTTGACCTGCTTGCTTCTCGTCATCCTCGCAAGAGCCGCTTGCAGGACATGGTTATCAACTGCGTAGCGACCACGGGAATCAAAATAATTTTCCGCAAGCAGCGATTGGAAGGCGGCTTCGCCCATTTTCGCTATTGCTCTGGAGGCGTAGCGCTCGGCGATCTCGATCTGCATGATGTGGGCTAAACCCGAAACCATCTTGCGGCGGGATTCGCCGTCCTCGCGGAAATGGACGTTGTCATTGTAGAGTGCCAAATCTCCAAGGAAGGGGTGGATGTCACAGGCGGCGAGTCCTCTCCGGACCGCTTCGTCCTTGAATCGCGCAATGCATTCATCGAACTGCTTTGGCAACCCGTAGACGAAGCTGCGAATTCCTGTGCAGATCACAATGGACCCCACATATGGAGAACGGCGCTGCAGGTCTGCAAGCGCTTCAAGGTTTTGGCAAACTCTCCGACAGATCTTTTGCCAATCTCCGCGGGCCTCTATGGGCGATTGATGGTCCCACCACGTCGGGACGCCGGGGCTGCAAAAAATCCCGTATCTGCCGACGATCTCATTCGCCATCCAGACAATCTGCACGTCCACCAGCAACTCTTGGTCGCCAGAGTAGCGCAGAGCCGTCTGGTCACAGAGGATCTGAGCCCTCTCCCGAAGTTCGGACAATGTTTTGCCCCACAGGGGTTCGTAAATTATCTCCCTGTACTGCAGATAGACCCCCGAGCTCGCTGCCTTCAAATCCGAGGAAAGGTCTGTCCTCGTTCTCTTGCCAGCAACGAAAACAGTCGTAGAGTCGGAGAGGAGGATGAGCACCCGCTTTCGGCCTCGATTTTCATCGGGCTTTAGCTGCGACATGCCAGACTGCGTCAGTGCTGCCACTCGGTTGAGCCCAGGATATCGATCCGTTTCAAAGCAGTTGTGAGCAGCCACTTGCACCGGCATGTACTGAAAAAGTGCTCGCAACTCTCCTTCGTCAATCGACTCTTGGAAGCCTATCGACTCGTGACTGATGACGGCCGCCCAAAGCTGGCGGCCCCAAAAATCGGCCAACTGCTCTTCGTAGGTCGCCATCGCTCTTCTACTCTCAGCTGCTACCACGGGACTAGGACCCGGCCTCAGCGTTAGCTGGGCTTTAGTTGTACAGTAAAGCGATGACAAAGCTGCGCATGCCAATCCTTCATGTACCTTAGGTCCATCATTGTCCTTAGTAGTATGCACTTGCCAATCAGCATGCAATGCCGAAACCTTGGTTTTCGATGTCCTTAGTCGTCCACAGTCCTGGGTAGCTTCGAGCAGCAGCCGCTTCAATCGAAAAGACGATGCAAAGATCAGCGACCCGCTCTTGTGTTTCTCAAGACCGAAATCGTGTGCCAACTTAACAACAGCAGGCATACACCACATC